GTAATGAGCTTAAGAAATTTGGGGAAAATAACTCACCCGGCATCTTACATCTGAAATAAGGAATGATTGATATAAGGTTTTTTTTTCTCACAGAAGATGAGGCACACAGGAACCTAATGGGCCAACTGGGATGAGATGACTATTCAGTGATGACTATTCTGAGATGACTATTCAGTGGCTAACTTGGGTTAGGAAGAAAATAATTAGGTATTTTCTCCAAATGTTCACTGGTACTCTGCCACTTTATTTCTCTCATCTGTTACACAAAGAACCACCAGGAAAGGAAATCAGTTTGGTTGGTAACTCTGTAATGCCTAACACTGGTTTGGTTCTGGACTAAAACTACATTGACAGATTGAATTTGCCTAATATGATGACTGTTTTTAATATGGATCTGTATGTGTTCTATTCAGCACAAGGAAATAAAATTTTAGTTGAGGATTCAGCCTAAAATCCTTGAGATCACTTCTCATTTCATAAGTGACATGCTTAATGCAAATAATATATGCGAATACTTTGGGTCAAAGTTTTCCTGCATTACCTTGGATGCCAAAGAGGTAGTTTGGTGGCCAAAAAGTATCTTTTTTAAGAAGCTGTTGTAGCCAGTCTTCGTGAAGATGAGAAGTTTCCGTAAATGAAAAAAAGAAAAAACAGTACTCAATGGCCATTTGTTACTGTTAATCCGTATCTAAAAGGTACATACTTTCTTCAGAGAGGCAGAAAATGGCATAGCCTCAGCACAATTAAAAAAAACCTTTTTTAACCAGTAGGAATTTTTTAATCGTTTCAAAATAATATTGGTAATACCACACTTCTGGTTGATTTTAATAAAACACTCGAAATCTCCTAAAAAGGTAGCAAAACTATAAAATATCTAAAATTAACCAAATATTATTGGTTATACTCAGGCATGGATCTTTTATTATGAACTTTAAATGTAGGGTTCTGATTTTTGGCTTCTAGTGTGTCATGTACTTTACCACTGCTCAGCGTGTTTTCAAATTCCCAATAGTCATATTTTAGGGAAAATCCAGGATTTGGGTATGTGATATATCACTAGAATCCTTGCTTAATTAACAAATTAGGTATGTACCCTATTACCTCTCCTGACCTCAGAATTCTTAAAATTGAAGAAGGCAAAGGAGGAGCCCCAGTAGGACATTTCTGTAACTGCAGAGTTGCCTTCAGAAGAGTGAATATGATTCACGCAAAACTCAGTTGCTGTCGTAATTTAGACGCAGCTGCTTTTTGTTGCAAAGATCTGAAGAGTCAGCAAGTGAGACATAAAATACAAGGTTAATTAGGTGTAAGGGAGAAAGAAAAACACTCATATATGAATCCTTAAATCCTTGGTAAGGCTGAGCTACAAATTTGGTCCTGTAAACAGGTTTTATTAAGTTAAATCAGTGTCTCTAGGTTAAAGAGTAATTGCTATGAATTGCAGATATCCTTCATAATAAAACCGCAAGTTTCTCAAGAGTATTAATGACACTTTGAACAACAAGTAGAGTTTATAAAGAGGAACACACAAACTCATGTGAATGTCCTGGGTTCTTCAACCTATGAGCACCAATAATCTTGGCCAATAAAATACTCAACTTTATTAATAGCTCCACACCTTACTGGGGATTGAACAAAGGTGAGAAGCAAAACTCAAGCATTATGCTGGATCTGTGTGTAATGCCTTTAACAGAGGCATATATGAATAGAGGCTACACATTTGCTCAGGATGACCAAAGGGAATAACATAATTTTAACCAGAAAAAAAGACACACAGAAAGACCTAACTTGGAGTAATGAAACTACTGAGATGAACTGAAATATCCAGCAAGGTAATAAGATGAGATCTGTTAAAACAATTTTTAAATGGGTAAAATATTTGAAAACACTTTGCAAAAGAAGTGGATGTCACTAAGAACACAGAAAGATACTATCATAAATCAGTCATTAAGAAAATGTAAATGAAAACCAAAATGGCATACACCTACTGAAACGGAATATACCAAATTCTGCTTAGGTTGCAGAGCAACTTAAACTCTCGTACATTGCTGGAGGAACTGCAAAGGTGCACAGGCAGTTTAAAAAACGATCTATCCACTTTCTAATCTGTGACAAAGCAATCCCATTCATATTACCCAAGTGAAGGAAAATATTCACACAAACCTGTATGTGAAGATAGCAGCCTTATTCACAAACACCAAAAACTGAATTCAATGAAGTAGCCTTCCACCTGGTGAATGAATAAATTTGTACATCCATGGCAATGCAATACTTCTTGAGAATAAAAGAATGAACTACTGATATATGGGTAAGTCTCAAGCATCACGCCAAATGAAAAGCCAGACTCAAAAGCCTCCACTAGCTGGGCGTGGTGGCGTGTACCTGTAATCCCAGCTACTCAGGAGGCTGAGGTGAGACGATTGCCTGAGCCCAGGAGTTCGAGGCTGTAGTATGCTATGATATCTGTGAACAGCCACTGCACTCAAGCCTTGGGCAACATAGCAAGACCCTGTCTCTTAAAAAAACAGTCCCCATTTATATAGCATTCAGGAATGGAAAAACTACAGGGATGGCAAACACATCAATGGCCTCCTGAGACGGGGATGGGAGTTAATTACAAAGGGAAATGAGGGAATATTTAGGGGTGGTGTGACTTCAGTATCTTGACTTGATGATTACATGTTTGACAGAACTCACAGAACTCTACACTTACGAAGGAAAAAAAGTTTTGTTTTTCTAGCTTAACCAAAGTGGTACTAAACCTTTAAAATATCAAGCTTAGAAGAAGGGCTTAGAACATGTCCGTATTTTACCTCATTAGAAATAAAGAACAGGATGTTGGAAATGGTTTGTGCTTTAAGATTGAACCAAGCTAGTAGCTCAGATCTGGGTGTCCACCACCTCACCTTCCAGGTTTATAATTGGTAATTCTGCTCAAGAATCTGTCCTCAGGGTTTTCAACATCCAGAATTAATTTGAGACAAACTACACCTAGTTCATAAACAAAGCTAGATCAGAATTAAGAAGGATTCCTGTCACAAGCCAAAACTCGTCTACAAACCCTCAGGGGGGCCAATTCTTGCTTTTAACAACAGCCAAAGATATTAAAGAATTGCATGAATATAGAGATGGATTTTTTAAAATACAAGTATATATAATTAATACTAAAACCCTCAGGAAAGCCAATACCTCGAGGTACTCTGGCTCCAGAAGAATCCATTTCGGTGGGGCATATTCCAAGATCTAAAAGAGGTATATCTGTTCGACTTTACTGAGTGGCTTTTCACCTGACAGACCAGACAAACTTAGAAGCTTTCAAGTCGAACTTTGGTAGGCAAAGGTAAAGTATGTCTTTTTTTTAAAGTAGGTGAGCCTGCAGGTCAATTTGTCAAAAATATTAACTAACCACAACTATGAGACACTAGACACAGTGTAGTTCCTGCCTTCATGGAGCTCAGTTCTATTCACTGGAGTGAGTTTTATTAGCAAAATACCCAATAAATAGGAGTGTGACTGGCCTGTCCAATCTCGAAGTCAGAAAAGGGCCATGGATAGTATCACATCCTGAGAGGCTGGATGTAGTCACCACCCTTTGAGGAAAGAGGGAAATTCATCCCAACCTGTCATACTAGCTAAGGGAGCAAAAAGTCAAGAATATGAACAATGTGACCTAGGCTCTGAAAGCTGACCAAGACACCATCTAAATAAACCTGGATTGACAATGAAAGGACTTTTGCTCTCCCTTAAAATGATGTTCAAAGTATCAAGGACATAGAGCTTCAGATCTGTCTTGTGTCACCTGGTCTTTCATGTGATAGTCAAAGATCCACAGTATGAAAGTGGGATTAACCCATCTGTGAAGTTCTAATCTGTGCGGTCACAATTGACCATTGCAGGTACTTAACAAGAGGACCCTGTGGGCACACAACAGACTTCAATTCTTTAGCCAGCTGTTCCTTGGCTCAGAATATGGAGAGAGCTAGAGACCCTCCAAACCAGAGGATGTTCCCTGGTCTTCCCAGGAGAGAAATGAACTATCTTTTGTAAAAGTAAGTTTCAAAGGCCAAGTGTGGTGGCTCATGCCTGTAATCCCAGCACTTTGGGAGGCGAAGGTAGGTAGATAACCTGAGGTCAGGAGTTCAAGACCAGCTTGGCAAACACGGTGAGATCCCATGTCTACTAAAAATACAGAAAAAATTAGCCAGGCGTAATGGCGCACGCCTGTAATCCCAGCTACTTGGGAAGCTGAGGTATGAGAATTGCTTGAACCCGAGAGGCAGAGGTTGCAGTGAGCCGAGATCGAGCCACTACACTCCAGCCTGGGTGACAGAGTGAGACTCTGCCTCAAAAAAAAAAAAAAAGTAAAACCATTAATGTAAAGGAACTCTCAACCCCAGCATTACATGATTAGGACAACAAATAGAAAAGTAATAAAGTTTAAGATCATGAAAAAAAAACAAGACCTGACATTTCAAATGGAAGAAATAAAAGCTAAAACAAACATTTTAAAACAAATGATGTTAAATAAAAAAGACTAGAAAATTAAAAAGGGACACCTTCACATCTCAATAACATTGAAAAAGTTTTTAAATAAAGATTGAAATAGACATAAGGGTAAATATGTGATAGGACTGAAAAGAAATTTTATGGAAAGGATTAACTATATCAAAGAGATAACAAAAAAAAAAAAAAAAAAAAAAGGGAGGAGGTACCAGAACAAAGAAAAACAAAAACCCATCAATAACAACTAGAAGTTGAGGGATAAAGGTTTGAAAAAAGTTCTTTTTGTGGGAGTGCACAGGCAACAGATGAATGTATATTTGGCTTCTCAGGAAAGAAAAGGAAAGGCAGAGAGCAGAGATGCCCTCTTAAAGTTTCTCCATTTGCCCAGAAGCTCATATCTCTGACAGCATTTGGAGCCCCCATCTGTGCAGCTGGTGGTGTGGTTTCCTAATCTGGCAAACCCAAAGCTTAACAGGTCCTACACCAACTAGTGAATATCCTGAACAAGTTCTCTTTTATTGGAGAGAGTCACTTTTATAATCACACCTTACATACATATCAGAAACAATTTGGAAGTAAAAAGCCAAATCTTACCAAAAATAAGTTATTTATTGCTTTAAAAAATAAACATTTATAATAGAATACCAAATTCGATTTAATCTAATGTGTTAACAAAAGCATAATATATTCCAGTAAACAAGGATTTCCAACTTATCCCATAACTAAAAAGTCAACTTAACAGTTGGTTTTAGCTAGAGGCAAACATCAGTCACTGCCACCAAATTCTATTACATAAATCTACTATGCTTCACATTTAAGGAGAAACTCAGCAGAGGGGTCACCCTGCTCTTCCCCACTAGAAATGCACTGAAAAGTGACAAGCCCACAGAAGGAAAGGCTGTATAAGGAAGTAGGAGCTTAAGTCAAATTTCTATTTCAATACCTTGAGGGAGGTGAAGGAGGGTGTTATTTTCACCAGGTCAACATGGATGACAGTTTGATCACAAAAAACAGCCCACAGTAAGATTTCATTTGTGGAATACAGTGAGCATGATCATGTCCTAATGATTTCTTAGGGTTTGGCAGTGTCTCTGGTCACATGCCCATACCTAGGTTTGACAGAAATGCTAATACTGTACTCTGGGTCTTCCTCAGGTGCCACAGTGGCTCTTGCCCTAGGATGACTAAAAATACGTCTCTCCTTTCCTTAGAGATACTGGCTCACTATCAAGAGTAGAGGTAGGGAGGCATTGCGAACTCCAGAAGAGAGGAGTCTACGGAGTTTATTCCATAGTGGACACGTTAGGCTTCTTAGAGATTCAACGAGATTGTCAGTAATAGGCGATCACCTTTTTGTACCTATGAAGCTTCTTAAAATTCCCTTGGGTTTGGCCCAAAAGACTGACCAGATTGAAAACTACTCTGTTATTCTTAAGGACAAATGCAATTCCTTTAAAGTTACAAATCAGTACTTATATCCTATAGTTCAGCATGTCTTCACACCATCCCCTGTTTTTGGCCTCCATATAAACAGATGCATTGCACTGCTGCATGGTATATTCCATCTCAACCAGCTGGTGGCATCCAATGGTTAACTTTTCCCTAGGAGAAAAAGAAATGTTAAATCATTACAAGACAGCTAGTCAGAGAAATAAAAATTATTTTTCATTTTCTTTTATTTTACATTTTTAATTGACAAAAGCTATATATTTATTATGTATAACATGATATTCTGAACTAGGTATATATTATGGAATGGCTCAATCAAGCTAAATAACATATGTGTTATTCCACACACTTATTTTTGTTGTGAGGACGTGTAAAATCTACATTTTTAAAATTACTATTTAAAAAAAAAACCCTTTTTTTTAGAGATGGAGTCTCAGCATCTTGCCCAGGCTGGTCTCCAACTCCTGGGCTCAAGTGATCCTCCCACCATGGCCTCCCAAAGTGCTAGGATTACATGTGTGAGTCACCATGCCCAGCCTTAATTATTATTTTTAAAAGCCAGGGTCTCACTCCTGTTGTCCAGGCTGGAGTACAGTGGTGCAATCACAGCTCACCATAGTCTCAACTTCCTAGGCTCAAGTGATCCTCTAACCTTAGCCTCCCAAGTAGCTGGGACCACTGGTACACACAACCACACCTAATTTTGTTTTGTTTTGTTTCTTTTGGTAGAGACAGGGTCTCACTATGTTGCCCTGGCTGGTCTCATTCCTGGGCTCAAGCAATTCTCCCACATTGGCCTCCAAAAGTGTTGGGATTGCAGGCATGAGCCAGTGCATCTGAAAGTAGCCAAAGTCTACTTTCTTAGTGATTTTCAAAATACAATACATTGTCATCAACTAAAGTCGCCATGTTGTACAACAGATCTCTGAACTTATTTCTCCTATCTAAGTGAAATTTTGTCTCCTTTCACCACCATCTCCCCAAAGTCCCCCATCCTCCTAGCCCCTGGTAACCACCATTTTATTCTCTACTCATACTTTTTTAGATTCCACGTATCAGTGAGAACATGTGGGTATTTGTCTTTCTGTGCCTGGTTTATTTAACTTATGTCTTTTAGGTTCATCCATGTTGTTCCAAACGACAGATTTTCTTCTTTTTTTAAGAGTGAATAGTATTCCACTGTGTACATATCCCACATTCTCTTTATCCATTCGTTCACTGATGGACATTTAGGTAGATTCCGTATCTTGGCTATTGTGAATAGTGCCGCAATGAATACTGGAGTGCAGATATCTTTTTGACATAATGACTTCATTTCCTTTGGATATATTAAAAATTCTATTCCAACTGTGTGGCTTACCCCTTGGATTAAAACATCTTAATATAAGCCCATTTCCTACTAAGAGAGGTCCTTCAGAGAGTAAGGTAGAACTAGATTGTTCAACCCAGCCCATTATATAAAAGGCTATGCTTAGGCATCCAGCTTTGCCTGTTGGTTGCAGGTCCACCACAGAAGAAGCCCTTATTCCTGAATTCTAGGAATCATACCAAGGTTGTCTTCCTGTTGGCTATGTAAGAATCTGTGCAACTAAGTGCTTTTATCTTCCAATGTTGTTTGTGCTAAAAATCATAATTGATGGTATTTTACCTCAAATATCAAAGAATGTATTTCAAATGCCAGTGTTAGTCTATTGTATTAAGAATTTTTATTTTTCTCTTATTTGGCTTGAGAGTAAAGTAGAGGCGGACTGGAGGGTATTAAGAGGATGTACCTCCTGAGAGGAACAGATACTTGAGAGGGGTAAGGAAGTTGACAAGAGTTTCAATTCTTAGAAAAGATTGCTGAGACAAGTTACCTAGCAGTTACCAAAGGAATGTTAGTAACCCTAAACCAAGGGTGGGGAAGCAGAGAGTGCTTAATATGTGCCATATCTACTTCACAATTTTACTTCAGGCAAAGCCAGCCAGGCTCTCGAAAGCTAACATGAGCCTACAAATTGTGGGATCCCAAACTGTAGGACACCAATCCATTATATCTAGCATCTAGAATTCAAAGTGTCAAAGAATTCAATCCCGTAAATAACTCTTTTCATCTACTGGGAGATGGTCTATATAAGTTCACAAAGAGCACCAAACATCTAGTATAGTATCTGGTATGTTAGGTATTCAAAATTGGCAGTCATTTTTATTGTAACAGTTAGACTGTCATTACTTCCTTGGCTTCTGAGATAGCTCTGCCATATTCATGGCGTTGGAGAGAACCACTAGCTACCTCTCCCACTGGCCCTCCCACATGACAGATCGCTTGATGGAGGATACAAAGGAAGAACTCAGGGGACGATCAGAACTCGGGACAGGACAAGAAGGAGTAGTGACACCACCAAAGTAAATAATAATAAAGTAAATGTACCATATTTGGAATAATCTCACTTCTTGACAACATGTGGTTTCTCTGAGACTGATTAAAGCCTGACTTTTGGGTGGCTCGCATCTGTAATCCTAGCAACTCAGAAGGGTGAGGCAGGAGGATCACTGAAGACCAGGAGTTTGAGAGCAGCCTAAGCAATACAGTATGACCTGCTCCCTAAAAATAATAATAATAATTTAAATCTGACTTACGGCTTTGTGTAACCCTAATCTCATTTTCTACATTTAAAGCTTAAAAATAGTGCTATGGTGCTGCCAATTCTTCACAACTACTCAAAAAAATGATTTTGAAACACTCTTAAGAGATTCAAAATAGCAGAGATATAAATGTTTTCTTATAAACTTAAAAATGAAACAAACTAAAAGGATAGGCCCCTATTCCTGTCCTTATTTATTCCACATGTGAAAAAAATATCTTTCAGTAACTAGACTTTTGAATCTATTTCTGTATCTTATCTTTTTCTTCCCCTCACCCCTTGTAATTAAGAGGTGAGCTCTATCTTCTCTTTTCCTCCTAGTGGCATTTGTTTCTTAATTCACGTGAGTCAGTATTCTGACAATGGATTATCACCTACAGATTTTGCTGTAGCAAGTTCTGTCATCACTGGCTGACAAAAGTATTGGCTGTTTTTCATAGTGTCTGCTTGGTCTATACTTTTTATTAGATCATGATGATAGGCATTCTTAAGTTCCTTTTCCTGGTGGTTAATCTGTAGAATGACAGAATATTGGCTGCAGGGGCACCTTAACACCTCTGCTTGTCATTCTGCAGCATCTCCAGTGAGTCATCTCACCTCAGCTTTTCCCTCCTGGTGATGAGACACTCACTATTGTGAGAGGCAGTTCACTGATAGATAGTTCTTGCTTTATATTGGGCCTATTAAAACCATCTAGCTGACCTGAGTCTGCCTAAATTAAAACAAAAACTCTCTTTCCCTTCTTCCTCTGATAGTACAAATATTTTATGTCCCTATTTCTCTTTTTCCAAGTGAAACGATTCCAATTCCTGATCCTTTCGAGAAGAGAGCTCAAAACTGGAGGTTGCTTCTAGTTCTGCGATTCATGAGATTCTGCAAAACAACAGCCACTATTTCTCTAGATTTTCCTATTAATGGTATCAAATTTGCTTTGACCAAATCTCAGATCAAAATAACTAGAAATTTTATCAAATCAATTTAAAAATAATTCCACACAGATTTGTGATTCCCTTCCCATAACCAATTTGGTCAAAATGGCATGGTACTAGTGAATTTACATGATCTAATTCCAATGTCTGATGCAATTTTTCCAAAATCCAAGAATGAGGTCTATAATGGATACGTGTTTTACAACCCTCTGAAGTTTTCTATACATTTGCAATGTGTATCACAAATAAAAGAAAAATGGAATACAATGTAATATATAAAATATAAATATAAAAGCAGTATATAATAGCTAACATCAATGGTAAAAGAATGAATGCTTTCCTCCTCAGATCAAGAACACGACAAGGAAGGCTTCTTTCACTGTTCAACTTTGTACCATTTTGTACAACTTTGTACAACTTTGTACTATAAGTTCTAGCCACAGCAATTAGGCATGAATAAGAAATAAAAGAGATCCAAATTGGAAACAAAGAAACAGAATAATTTCTATTTGTAGATCCTAAAGAAGTCACAAAATAACTATTAGATCTAATAAATTAATTTAGCAAAGTTGCAATGTAAAAGATCAACACAAAAAATCAATTGTATTCCTATACATTAGCAATGAACAAGCAGAAAAGGAAATAAAACAATTCCGCTTATGATAGCATAAAAAGTAATAAAATACTTGGGAATCAATTTAATCAAAGAGGTATAAGACTTGTACACTGGCCAGATGCAGTGGCTCATGCCTGTAATCCCAGCACTTCCGGAGGCTGAGGAGGGCAGATCACAAGATCAGGAGTTCAAGACTGGCCTGGCCAACATGGTGAAACCCCGTCTCTACTAACAACATACAAAAATTAGTCAGGCCTGGTGGCATGTGCCTGTAATCCAACTTACTCAGGAGGCTGAGGCAGGAAAATTGCTTGAACCCAGGAGGCAGAGGTTACAGTGAGCCGAGATCGTGCCACTGCACTCCAGCCTGGGTGACAGAGTGAGACTGTCTCAAAAAAACAAAAAAACAAAAAATACTGCTAAAAGAAATTAAAGAATATCTAAATAAGAGAAAAGGCATCCTATGTTAATGGACTCTAATATTTAGTAAGATGGTAATACTCCCCAAACTGATCTACATTGTCAATGCAATTTCTATCAAAATCCCAACAACCTTTTTTGTAGAAACAGAAAAGCTGATCCTAAAATTCAGATAGAATTGCAAGGCATCCCAAATAACAAAATCTTGAAAAAGGAAAATGTTAGAGGACTTAAAACACTTGTCAATTTCAAAACCCACTACAAAGGAACTGTTACCAAAATAGTTTGGTATGAGCAGATAGACAGACATTCAATGGATCAGAACTGAAAGTTCTGAAATAAACCCTCACATATATGGTCAACTGATTTTCATCAAGGATGCCAAGACCATCCAATGGAGAAAGACTGGTCTCTTCAATAATAATGCTACTAGGAAAACTTGATATCCACATGCGTGTATATGGATGGATGAATGCTTGAGTGAAGCTGGACCCCTTACCTTACATCATATACAAAAATTAACTCAAAATGGATCAATGGCCTAAATGTAAGAGCTAAAACTAT